TGTAACAGTGGCCTACAACAATGAAGGTGTCCATGTCATGGTTGTAACAGTGGCCTACTACAATGAAGGTGTCCATGTCATGGTTGTAACAGTGCTCTACTACAGTGAAGGTGTGTGTGTCTTGGTTGTAACAGTGGCCTACAACAATGAAGGTGTCCATGTCATGGTTGTAACAGTGGCCTACTACAATGAAAGTGTCCATGTCATGGTTGTAACAGTGCTCTACTACAGTGAAGGTGTCCATGTCATGGTTGTAACAGTGACCTACTATAATGAAGGTGTCCATGTCATGGTTGTAACAGTGGCCTACTACAATGAAAGTGTCCATGTCATGGTTGTAACAGTGCTCTACTACAGTGAAGGTGTCCATGTCATGGTTGTAACAGTGACCTACTATAATGAAGGTGTCCATGTCATGGTTGTAACAGTGGCCTACTACAGTGAAGGTGTGTGTCTCTTGGTTGTAACAGTGGCCTACAACATTGAAAGTGTGCGTGTCTTGGTTGTAGCAGTGGCCTACAACAGTGAAGGTGTGTGTGTCTTGGTTTTAACAGTGGCCTACTACAGTGAAGGTGTCCATGTCATGGTTGTAACAGTGGCCTACAACGTTCAAGGTGTCCATGTCATGGTTGTAACAGTGACCTACTATAATGAAGATGTCCATGTCATGGTTGTAACAGTGGCCTACAACAGTGAAGGTGTGTGTGTCTTGGTTGTAACAGTGGCCTACTACAGTGAAGGTGTCCATGTCATGGTTGTAACAGTGACCTACTACAGTGAAGGTGTGTGTGTCTTGGTTGTAACAGTGGCCTACAACAGTGAAGGTGTGTGTGTCTTGGTTGTAACAGTGGCCTTCAACAGTGATGGTGTGTGTGTCTTGGTTGTAACAGTGGCCTACTACAGTGAAGGTGTCTATGTGATGGTTGTAACAGTGGCCTACAACAATGAAGGTGTCCATGTCATGGTTGTAACAGTGGCCTACTATAGCGAAGGTGTCCATGTCATGGTTGTAACAGTGGCCTACTACAGTGAAGGTGTCCATGTCATGGTTATAACAGTGGCCTACTACAGTGAAGGTGTCCATGTCATGGTTGTAACAGTGACCTACTACAATGAAGGTGTCCATGTCATGGTTGTAACAGTGACCTACTACAATGAAGGTGTCCATGTCATGGTTGTAACATTGACCTACTACAATGAAGGTGTCCATGTCATGGTTGTAACAGTGGTCTACAACAGTGATGGTGTGTGTGTCTTGGTTGTAACAGTGACCTACTACAGTGAAGGTGTGTGTGTCTTGGTTGTAACAGTGGTCTACCACAATGAAGGTGTCCATGTCATGGTTGTAACAGTGGCCTACTACAGTGAAGGTGTCCATGTCATGGTTGTAACAGTGGCCTACTACAATGAAGGTGTCCATGTCATGGTTGTAACGGTGACCTACTACAATGAAGGTGTCCATGTCATGGTTGTAACAGTGGCCTACTACAATGAAGGTGTCCATGTCATGGTTGTAACAGTGACGAACTACAATAAAGGTGTCCATGTCATGGTTGTAACAGTGGCCTACAACAATGAAGGTGTCCATGTCATGGTTGTAACAGTGGCCTACAACGTTCAAGGTGTCCATGTCATGGTTGTAACAGTGACCTACTACAATGAAGGTGTCCATGTCATGGTTGTAACAGTGCTCTACTACAGTGAAGGTGTGTGTGTCTTGGTTGTAACAGTGGCCTACAACAATGAAGGTGTCCATGTCATGGTTGTAACAGTGGCCTACTACAATGAAAGTGTCCATGTCATGGTTGTAACAGTGCTCTACTACAGTGAAGGTGTCCATGTCATGGTTGTAACAGTGACCTACTATAATGAAGGTGTCCATGTCATGGTTGTAACAGTGACCTACTACAATGAAGGTGTCCATGTCATGGTTGTAACAGTGGCCTACTACAGTGAAGGTGTGTGTCTCTTGGTTGTAACAGTGGCCTACAACATTGAAAGTGTGCGTGTCTTGGTTGTAGCAGTGGCCTACAACAGTGAAGGTGTGTGTGTCTTGGTTTTAACAGTGGCCTACTATAATGAAGATGTCCATGTCATGGTTGTAACAGTGGCCTACAACAGTGAAGGTGTGTGTGTCTTGGTTGTAACAGTGGCCTACTACAGTGAAGGTGTCCATGTCATGGTTGTAACAGTGACCTACTACAGTGAAGGTGTGTGTGTCTTGGTTGTAACAGTGGCCTACAACAGTGAAGGTGTGTGTGTCTTGGTTGTAACAGTGGCCTTCAACAGTGATGGTGTGTGTGTCTTGGTTGTAACAGTGGCCTACTACAGTGAAGGTGTCTATGTGATGGTTGTAACAGTGGCCTACAACAATGAAGGTGTCCATGTCATGGTTGTAACAGTGGCCTACTATAGCGAAGGTGTCCATGTCATGGTTGTAACAGTGGCCTACTACAGTGAAGGTGTCCATGTCATGGTTATAACAGTGGCCTACTACAGTGAAGGTGTCCATGTCATGGTTGTAACAGTGACCTACTACAATGAAGGTGTCCATGTCATGGTTGTAACATTGACCTACTACAATGAAGGTGTCCATGTCATGGTTGTAACAGTGCTCTACTACAGTGAAGGTGTCCATGTCATGGTTGTAACAGTGACCTACTATAATGAAGGTGTCCATGTCATGGTTGTAACAGTGACCTACTACAATGAAGGTGTCCATGTCATGGTTGTAACAGTGGCCTACTACAGTGAAGGTGTGTGTCTCTTGGTTGTAACAGTGGCCTACAACATTGAAAGTGTGCGTGTCTTGGTTGTAGCAGTGGCCTACAACAGTGAAGGTGTGTGTGTCTTGGTTTTAACAGTGGCCTACTACAGTGAAGGTGTCCATGTCATGGTTGTAACAGTGGCCTACAACGTTCAAGGTGTCCATGTCATGGTTGTAACAGTGACCTACTATAATGAAGATGTCCATGTCATGGTTGTAACAGTGCTCTACTACAGTGAAGGTGTCCATGTCATGGTTGTAACAGTGACCTACTATAATGAAGGTGTCCATGTCATGGTTGTAACAGTGGCCTACTACAATGAAAGTGTCCATGTCATGGTTGTAACAGTGCTCTACTACAGTGAAGGTGTCCATGTCATGGTTGTAACAGTGACCTACTATAATGAAGGTGTCCATGTCATGGTTGTAACAGTGGCCTACAACAGTGAAGGTGTGTGTGTCTTGGTTGTAACAGTGGCCTACTACAGTGAAGGTGTCCATGTCATGGTTGTAACAGTGACCTACTACAGTGAAGGTGTGTGTGTCTTGGTTGTAACAGTGGCCTACAACAGTGAAGGTGTGTGTGTCTTGGTTGTAACAGTGGCCTTCAACAGTGATGGTGTGTGTGTCTTGGTTGTAACAGTGGCCTACTACAGTGAAGGTGTCTATGTGATGGTTGTAACAGTGGCCTACAACAATGAAGGTGTCCATGTCATGGTTGTAACAGTGGCCTACTATAGCGAAGGTGTCCATGTCATGGTTGTAACAGTGGCCTACTACAGTGAAGGTGTCCATGTCATGGTTATAACAGTGGCCTACTACAGTGAAGGTGTCCATGTCATGGTTGTAACAGTGACCTACTACAATGAAGGTGTCTATGTCATGGTTGTAACATTGACCTACTACAATGAAGGTGTCCATGTCATGGTTGTAACAGTGGTCTACAACAGTGATGGTGTGTGTGTCTTGGTTGTAACAGTGACCTACTACAGTGAAGGTGTGTGTGTCTTGGTTGTAACAGTGGTCTACCACAATGAAGGTGTCCATGTCATGGTTGTAACAGTGGCCTACTACAGTGAAGGTGTCCATGTCATGGTTGTAACAGTGGCCTACTACAATGAAGGTGTCCATGTCATGGTTGTAACGGTGACCTACTACAATGAAGGTGTCCATGTCATGGTTGTAACAGTGGCCTACTACAATGAAGGTGTCCATGTCATGGTTGTAACAGTGACGAACTACAATAAAGGTGTCCATGTTATGGTTGTAACAGTGGCCTACAACAATGAAGGTGTCCATGTCATGGTTGTAACAGTGGCCTATTATAGTGAAGGTGTCCATGTCATGGTTGTAACAGTGACCTACTACAGTGAAGGTGTCCATGTCATGGTTGTAACAGTGGCCTACAACAGTGAAGGTGTTTGTGTCATGGTTGTAAGAGTGAAGGTGTGTGTGTCTTGTTGTAACAGTTGCCTACAACAATGAAGGTGTCCATGTCATGGTTGTAACAGTGGCCTATTATAGTGAAGGTGTCCATGTCATGGTTGTAACAGTGGCCTACTACAGTGAAGGTGTCCATGTCATGGTTGTAACAGTGGCCTACAACAGTGAAGGTGTGTGTGTCATGGTTGTAACAGTGAAGGTGTGTGTGTCTTGGTTGTAACAGTGGCCTACAACAGTGAAGGTGTGTGTGTCATGGTTGTAACAGTGAAGGTGTGTGTGTCTTGTTGTAACAGTGGCCTACTACAGTGAAGGTGTGTGTCATTAGCATTACCTTTCAATATTGTGTTAAGATGAACTCCCTCGAGTAGAAGGATGAACATGCTTATATCACTCATGAGGTAGGAGAACGGTACAAATATCTTTGTACTGAATGATAGATGAAGCATAAACGAATAAACACAAGTAACAGAAAAACAGACTTGTATATTTTCATGTCTGAGAGAACCAATCAATTCATTGTGGAAACATTCTTAGTTACTTACAGAACTTACTTTGATCTCCGTTATTATTATTTAAATTTAAATTAAAATGAGAAGATTAAATAAAGGAGTCTAATTCCTGATTCCTGAAAATTTCAGTGACTATGTACAATGCCTGAGCGAATCAGCCCGACTATAGACACTGACTGTAACATATCTATGTCGTGGGTAAAGGGTAATTAGCCTTTGTTTATTCAAACAAAGGTTTTCCTCAATCGGTTTCTAGGAGATATGCATTCTTTATATCTTACCTGAGAAGACATCATCACTGAACACATGGCAATGGACAGACTGGCTCCAGCAACCAATTTGACGTCTTTCTTCAGCAGGTCATGGCTGCTTAAACCTGCAACACAATCCAGATCCCCTACAGTGATGCTACATCTGGAAATGCTTGGAAATGTAAACTATTCATCATCTTCTGTTGCTCTATCATCTCAAGCACATTCCGAAACGAACTAACATGGGAAAGAAATAAGAATATTTCTGCTTTAGTACATGAAGGCAGTGTGATCTATGTCTCCTGGAAACTGTACACTACAATGTATGTTACAACCAGAGAGTGACTGGATTCATGTCTCCTGGAAACTGTACACTACAATGTATGTTACAACCAGAGAGTGACTGGATTCATGTCTCCTGGAAACTGTACACTACAATGTATGTTACAACCAGAGAGTGACTGGATTCATGTCTCCTGGAAACTGTACACTACAATGTATGTTACAACCAGAGAGTGACTGGATTCATGTCTCCTGGAAACTGTACACTACAATGTATGTTACAACCAGAGAGTGACTGGATTCATGTCTCCTGGAAACTGTACACTACAATGTATGTTACAACCAGGGAGTGACTGGATTCATGTCTCCTGGAAACTGTACACTACAATGTATGTTACAACCAGAGAGTGACTGGATTCATGTCTCCTGGAAACTGTACACTACAATGTATGTTACAACCAGAGAGTGACTGGATTCATGTCTCCTGGAAACTGTACACTACAATGTATGTTACAACCAGAGAGTGACTGGATTCATGTCTCCTGGAAACTGTACACTACAATGTATGTTACAACCAGAGAGTGACTGGATTCATGTCTCCTGGAAACTGTACACTACAATGTATGTTACAACCAGAGAGTGACTGGATTCATGTCTCCTGGAAACTGTACACTACAATGTATGTTACAACCAGAGAGTGACTGGATTCATGTCTCCTGGAAACTGTACACCACAATGTATGTTACAACCAGAGAGTGACTGGATTCATGTCTCCTGGAAACTGTACACTACAATGTATGTTACAACCAGAGAGTGACTGGATTCATGTCTCCTGGAAACTGTACACTACAATGTATGTTACAACCAGAGAGTGACTGGATTCATGTCTCCTGGAAACTGTACACTACAATGTATGTTACAACCAGAGAGTGACTGGATTCATGTCTCCTGGAAACTGTACACTACAATGTATGTTACAACCAGAGAGTGACTGGATTCATGTCTCCTGGAAACTGTACACAACAATGTATGTTACAACCAGAGAGTGACTGGATTCATGTCTCCTGGAAACTGTACACTACAATGTATGTTACAACCAGAGAGTGACTAGATTCATGTATTCTGGAAACTGTGCACTTCATTTGTTAGAACCAGCTGTTGACTGTGAAAACAAAGTCACAAAGTTCACAAAGCAAGCTAGTTCATGAACACTTCAAGAACACTTCATGAGTGAATATTAGTTCAGTAGTTCATAAAATATTCCTGACAAAAATGAAGAAAAAAATCAACAACAGATCATGTACGAAAACAAGTACAGCAGTTCATGAAAAATTCATAATAAAAATGAAGTACAAAATGTTTACATAATAAACATATTCCCATGTATAAAAGTATGCAATGAAAAATAATGGGAACTTGTGTGTACAATTGACATACATGTTCACACAAAAGAAATACTTTTTGCATTGATATCTGTATACATAAAGGCAACTGGATGTAAATATGTCCTCATAATGGCCTAAAATACACCATTTTAGGACCACGTTTGAAAATAATGTCTGTGGGAGCATGTCCCTGAGACTCTTCACACCTTGGTGCTCTCTTTAGGCCCTCTTGGTTCTCAGGCAATACACACATCATCATAAAATCTGCCACACGTATTGTTTTTATTTCCATTTTCAAAAAAATATATAAAATCCTAATATTTAAACACAATGCACAAACACAATTGAAAATGGAAACAAAAATGGAACATGCAATGATCTTTATGAAGATGTGGGCAGTGCCTGAGAACCAAGACTATTATTTTTTTTTTAAAAAAATATTTTGTTGGAAAGGGCAGTTCTGGAGAACGAGAGGAATGTTCTGTTAAAAATATAAAACTTTTAAAAATATGGAACACCCCAACAACAAATCGTAAAAAAGGAAGAATTGTTAAGATGCATATTCTTCTTTTTTTTCTCTTGCACAAGCTTGTGTGTACAATGTTCAAGCACAGGTCTTGACCTTCCAACCAGGAAAGTAACTATGTTGTTCATGAACAGTTCATGAATTTCAGTACTTGAACTATTCTTACTTTTGTAAAGTTGGGTTCAAGCACTGTTCTTGAACTGAATTGAGCAGTGCCAACTGATGTTCACAAACCGCTCATGAACAGTTCATGAACAATTATTCATGAATTGTTACAGTAACGTAAACTGTTGAGTTTAGAATTGAATTATGTCTCAAGGGATATTTTGACACAACCTAACAGCATGGAACTGCTTGCATAATATGAACAATTATAGATGCCCAGAAACCAGAAACCACATTACCGTATTCGACGTAATAAGCGCCCACGGCGATATTTGCTAATATATTGGCAAGTGAACAATCCCAATTAGCCCCCCTTCCGATTCATCAATGTACACAAGACTTATTTATTCGTGTATAATACGCACTCGCGTGTTATATGCATCCTTAATTATGGGCAATTAAATTCTAGAAAAATATATCTGTCGTATATAAACAGTTCAGACTGTCAGCATAAACCACGAAATTTATCTTTCAATTCTGTTTTTTCCACCAAAGTAATTCTAATAAGAGCCCCCTATTTCTAATTTTGAGAGCGCCCTGGGCGCTTGTTACGTCGAATACGGTAATACTAATTATATTAAAAAAAAGTCATTATCAATTGCAGGAGTTATCCTTGAACAAACAACTCCAGCAGTGTCACCATACATGACAATGACTACTGGGCAACATGATGAACAGCAGTGTCACCATACATGACAATGACTACTGGGCAACATGATGAACAGCAGTGTCACCATACATGACAATGACTACTGGGCAACATGATGAACAGCAGTGTCACCATACATGACAATGACTACTGGGCAACATGATGAACAGCAGTGTCACCATACATGACAATGACTACTGGGCTACATGATGAACAGCAGTGTCAGCATACATGACAATGACTACTGGGCAACATGATGAACAGCAGTGTCAGCATACATGACAATGACTACTGGGCAACATGATGAACAGCAGTGTCAGCATACATGACAATGACTACTGGGCAACATGATGAACAGCAGTGTCAGCATACATGACAATGACTACTGGGCAACATGATGAACAGCAGTGTCACCATACATGACAATGACTACTGGGCTACATGATGAACAGCAGTGTCAGCATACATGACAATGACTACTGGGCAACATGATGAACAGCAGTGTCACCATACATGACAATGACTACTGGGCAACATGATGAACAGCAGTGTCACCATACATGACAATGACTACTGGGCAACATGATGAACAGCAGTGTCACCATACATGACAATGACTACTGGGCAACATGATGAACAGCAGTGTCACCATACATGACAATGACTACTGGGCAACATGATGAACAGCAGTGTCACCATACATGACAATGACTACTGGGCAACATGATGAACAGCAGTGTCACCATACATGACAATGACTACTGGGCAACATGATGAACAGCAGTGTCACCATACATGACAATGACTACTGGGCAACATGATGAACAGCAGTGTCACCATACATGACAATGACTACTGGGCAACATGATGAACAGCAGTGTCAGCATACATGACAATGACTACTGGGCAACATGATGAACAGCAGTGTCAGCATACATGACAATGACTACTGGGCAACATGATGAACAGCAGTGTCAGCATACATGACAATGACTACTGGGCAACATGATGAACAGCAGTGTCAGCATACATGACAATGACTACTGGGCTACATGATGAACAGCAGTAGAATGGACTCAGACTTCCTGATTATACATACACAATGTTTCTGTGACTCTCATCACAACATAATATTTAAAACTTCTAGAGTTCTAGATGGGTTGATTACATCAAGTGGCCCTGTCAACTTACCACTGACATCTGTCTTGGCCTGGTGTATGCCATCAAATAGGGCCTGCGTATCTACTTGCGGCAGGATCAGTTTGAGTGTGTCTATGGCAGCTACGTCTCTGGCGGTGGTCTTGCCTGCTGCTTCACTCATGTTGATGGTGTCAGTGAGTATAGTTCCTGAAACCACCAGAAGATCCACTTGCTACCTTATACCTATTGATATGTTAATGTGTCACTGTCACAATGCCATTAGGCCATGCCCTATAACACAGACCTGTCAACTCTCCCGCAATTTGATGAAATCTCCCAGTCTCCTGCATGAGTATCTTTCTCCCGCAAAACAGCATTTTTCATTAGTTTACAACTTTGCCTCCATTGCCCCATGAGTAAAAACAAAGAACAGGAAGTTACGATTGTGGAAATCTAGAAGTAAGAAGTAAGTCTTCTGCTTAATGCATGTGATACCTCCAAATCTGTCCGGAATGGTCCTTGGTTAGTGACCCTCATCACGGTTACCCGCAGGGGGCCCATGTGATCCAGATGGGCCTTTGTGCAGTAATCAACTGGTAATTGACTCCATATGGTGAACGATTTAACAATGTAAGATGTAAAGAAAACTCGGATGGTCCTAACAGGTACCTGAAGAGTTGAATGAATAATCAGCCGAGTACCTAGTACTTCCTGAAATCAACTATTCTCTTCATGTTCTCAGCATGTTTATTCCTGCATAATTTAATAACGTAGATATATAAATGAATTTATTGGTTATCAGATTTATCAGAAAATATGTTAAAATGTCAACAACCTCAAAATTATGACATTGAACTCACGGAAATAAAAACAAAATATGACCAGCAAGTGCCATCTCCAGAAACACAACATGCGTGACTGGTTAATTCGGTAGTTGAAATACATATAGAGTAACATGATCAAGGTTCCTCATAGACATAGGGTTTCAAAGCCAAAGTTTAAGCAAAACTAATGTTATTTTAACTTTTGGCTGACATCGTGACCTGTCTCCCCCTAAATATCAACACTGCAAAGAATTGTGACAAAATCTATCATGTGATTATTTGACACAAATTGATTGGCTAATCTAATTTACATACAACAGCACTAGTCAACCAATGAGAGTTATACACGTTGAGATCAGAAAGGTCAACAATGACAACAGGCACATTTCCAAAAATGGGATACATTTTTGTGAAATGGAATAACTGCTTGGCATCTCTTTTAACGCTTTGTCAAGGCTATCAAACACAAGCAAAGTGTATGAACTCAACCGGGATGAGAAGAAGAATGATTGACAACATCAATAAGAGAATCTTCGAACCAAAACCCTACATCACAAATGCCAAGGACAGAGGTGGGCGGAATAAAGGTTAGCGACACCATGTGTAACAGCTCTGCCTTGTGGCAACTTTGATGTTGAAAACCAAGGGCTCTTCGGACAAGCAAATCCACCCTCCAAAAGGGTCCTTGGTCTGGGAACCTAAATAATGACAAGAAACAAAGGAGGGACATTCCAGTGATTATCCTGTATGTTCAGGATATAGAGTACCGAGTTGCAAGAGCCGGGGAAAGTATTGTCAATCCGTGCTGGTGAGTAGCCATCTGTTGCGCCAGGACCAAGGGATCGAACCAACTGGTGTAGACCCTAAACATCAGTGACTAAGAAAACAACCCTACGTAATGGCAGTCAGAGTACAATTGCTGTGCAGGTCCATGATAGAGGCAACGGCTCTCGTCTCATGGATTGGACGTCACTGGAAGAGGCAATCCAGTGAAAGCATAGGTTCAGAGTATCGTTGAGAAGAGTCAAAAAGAGACAGTGTGCGGGAGTCTTCCGTGGTGCCCACTATGAAAATTGGGATGAAGAATCTCTTACGGGTGCATCGAAATAGTTCGCAGCCTCTAGGTAGATACAGAGTGCTCTAACTGGGCATCAGGAGATGTCGTCATGGTCATCTAGGTTGAGGATGGGTGCCAAGGACGGGATGGTAAACAAACAGTCTGGATGTCCCGGAAGCTGATACTTCACGAATAAATCCCAGTGTAGTCCCAGAAAGATCTTCCCATTCTGTGTTTCTCAAAGTAGACCCGGTTCTAGAGCATGGATCTTGCTCATTCTAGTAGTTGAAAAAAACATCTTAAGTCCTTTTCGCCAGGTGGTTCATATTCTGCAGAGGTCAGATGCCAAAGGATGACAGCAAGATCCCAAGTGGGAGACAGGAGTCAAGATGACTGGTCAGCCAACTTGTAGAAACGAATGAGGGACTGTAGTTCAGCAAACCGTGGAGCTCTAGATGCAGTTGTATTGGCATTGACAGGGTTGATCACCGCGAGATTAAAAGCCAAGGTTGAGCCCTAGGTTTCCAAGTCAATCTCAGCGACCTGTTGAGGAGAGAGAGCAGGCAGGTTGGTGATATCACAAGCTCAACAAAAGGTTTTGAATGCATTCCACTGATGGTCATATAGGATCTAGGTAGAGGTATAGTGAGCCTCAGAGATGGTTGTGGCTACTCGGGCAAAAAGGCATAGGTACTGAGGTACTCCCACAAGATGACCAGATCATCATGGATCTGGCACAGTGTTGAACCAGGATGCGAAGCAGCTGACGTCTGGACCTGGGCAGAGGCTGCAAAGTCACCGAAAAATTGTTGGGTGAAGACGTCATCCCGTCGATGGCGATTGGTTTGGTCGGGATAGGAAGTTGGCTAAGATTCCAAGGACATGCCTCGCTTGGACCTGATTGTTCAACCTGATGTTGATCAAGTGGATGTCGAGCATCAGTGAAGAGGGACGTCGACTTCGTAGAGCCCAGTGACTGATATACCAGATGAAGGTCGGAAGGCTTGGCACTGAGGGTTGGAATCATAGGAGCGGGAGCAAACTGGGCATCGTAAACGATCCTCATAACAGGTGGACTATTGATCCACCGAAACTATATATAATAACTATCTTCTGAAAGATGGTGATAATCATGACGAGCAGGAGTGGTCCGTGATGTGACAGTAGTGTTGAAACTCCTTTGACGAAACGTTGTGATAGAGAACCATGCAATGTAGGCGTCAATACTCTACTGATGCCAACATAAGTGGGTTTGTCATAATGTCCTGACACTCACTACGGAAAACATCACTGCATCAGAACATTGAGGATTGTATCCTTGCTGAGACTGGTATCCTCTCCTACGCATGAAGTGAGAGGGGACAAATTCCTGATCCCACCATAGTTAATCTGATCCAGGTGAAACATCGGTGATTGAGTGAGGGAGTGAGCAACACACATATGTAGCAATATTCCAACAAGATCATGTTAATTCTTGATGCTGTGAAAAATGAATCACAAAGTACATCCTCCTTAATCGAGACGGAAGTGTTGGTTGATATGTGGTCTTGAAAAAAGGCACAATAACATGGACAGCCTATATGCTTAGGTTTCTTTGTTGAAAGTACAAAATTATTCAACGAAACTATGAATCCCCGTCCACCGAATACGTGGTAATAGTGAAGGCAGGTTATAAATCTGACTCAGAGTGTTGGAGACATTACTGACATCATTAATAGATAAAACATGCGTCCCGATATCGATGTTGATCTTTTTTCCCTGAGGAGAGGGATATTGACGTCGCTTTCCTTGATGACCAGAATTGATACCAGCGGCCAAGGATCAACATTCTGAGGAACAGTGACAGCTGAACTAAGAACTAACAGTCTGTGAGGGAACCAGTGTGGACATCAAAGTAACAAGAGAAAGTACCACAGGTTGCCCCGGGTGATTCTGGAGGGCAGAGGTCACTGCCTGCAAGAATGATTCTAGGTTCGGGGACGGATCATTAGCCTGGTCTCAATGGTCCCATGAGGTATGGAGTGAAGGGAGCATCACAGAACAGATGGACCCGGACAAGGTAGGAGGAATAACCATGCCAAGGAGCATAACTGCTGTACTGATAGGGATCTCAAGCACGCAACTCTGGTCGATGATGATCGTAGAAGCCAACTGACGATGCCAATCCATGTAACTGGAGGATTGGGAGCGACCAACAGGAGAAGAACGTTTAACCGAGTCTGTATAGGAACCATCCTCTGAGTCACTTCGAACGGCTGTGGGAGGTGAATCAGCAGTGTCCTTGCGTGAACGTCGATCCCTAGAAGGTCGATCTCCAAACTGTCAAACCTGAACATAACACGAAGACTGGTAGCAGACATTCTAGGAGCGATAAGAGGATTGGTCAAAGGCGTATCCGTGGCATGTTTGGACGCATCGACAGAAGAGAGAACCTGCGAACGACTGATGTAGCTGGTGGTTCCCACGTAGACGGGGACCGGATGCTTCAGGAACGGATTGTTGAGCCGGGACAGTTGAGACAGCGTAACTGACGGCTAGGGAACGTCTATGGGTGCAGATTGCTCTAACGTTGGCAAGGTAACACGTGCACTAGGATCAGATGGCTCCTTCTTTATGGCAGGAACATCGTCAGTAAGCAAGCTATCCAATACGCAATTGTCTTCAACAGATAAACACAAATCAATATAAGACAAGGATGGTATCGTAGATTTCAGAGGTGGTTTCACAGCTGTTACACTGGAAGAGACAGCTACCACTGATCAACATTATGTTTTTGGAATAATGTAGGTAACTACAAGAGGCGTCCTCCGAGAGGTGAGAACACTGGTCTTGGTTGATCTTGGTCTGTTCCCGTCTCCTCCGTTTTTATCGTAGGTGTACTACCAAGCAAGAGGTACCTGTAACAAAAAAGACATGAACATGGATTCTCCATATTCCAAAAACACGTCTCCACAGTGTGAAAGAGAATGAGTTAGGAGATATACACACGATCAGTTTGTGTAAGGTTACTGAGCATTCAGCAGATAATTGACCTAGTTATTGGTCAGTAACCAGAGGGATACTGGGGTGCGTTCGGGTGAAGTGTTTTGTTTTCAAAGCTTGAAACATGGTTCAAACACGTTTCCAACATAGGATCGAAGAAGAAAGAAGAAATGCATAGTGTGAGATAGCATGTTCAGGAGTTTAACAATTGAATATTTTAAAAAAATTATTTACTATTGTTTTAAAATATTTCTTTTCTTAAAAACAATAAAAATATAGGTTGTCAGTTATCCTCTTCAATTGCTAATTACAAGTTTTAATAATTCTCCCCCTCTGCAGGCAAATCTACCCCATTGTCATGATGAGGAGTTAACAGGTCTACTGATAATGCATTGATAACTTAAAAAAAGAAAAGAATTGGTTCTCAGGCAATGGCTTTTGAAAATAAAATTGAGGCGGGCGGTTTTTTTTTTGTTTTTGTTGGTTGTTCAAGCTTGTATGTATCAAAAAAATGTTAAGTTCTTTTTTAAGTACTGTAATTTTTTAAAGCATTTCACTGCCAGGGTTGTGTGTTCGACACGCAGAATATTTGAAGATATTTTTTTGGGGGGGAATGAAAATATAAACAAAACTTTAAATCAGGTTCAATACACGAGCCAAATTGTGACGTTTCCTTGGTCTAACTGTGGCAACTAGTGGTACACAATAGATGGCAATTACCTAGGAGAAGTGTTGCCACGGTTGTATCAAGTATGAATGTGTCATCTCTTGCTATTTCCTCTGTGACCAGTGTACAGCATGACCCCACGAGGTCAATGGTGCATGACACTCTGAAACACAAACAACCTTCATGGACAACAAGAACAATTTAACAAGTGTGGTTTATCTAATATAGTTGCAAAGTAATTTTTCAATAGAGAATTGGGAGCAAGGAGCCCATGACAGCAGCTTCTAGTGCATATATATACTTGCCTAAAAAAGAAACACAGATTTGGTTTTCCATAGATACATTCTGTGACTGCTATAAAAGTGTTACGAGGGACATGTGTGAGTTCAGATGATAACAAAGTGAAACAGAATTCATCAAATGTGGTGACTTAAATAGCCTTGTGAAGAAAAACAAAACTCATTTTTTTTTAAATATATTCACTTATTGAACATTGACATGACAAAAACACACTAAAGCCAGGCATGCTATTTTGTCAATGAAAATAAAATACAATAGTTTAATAATAAGTTTTACCTGGTGCTGTAACCATAATTCCACTCTTGATTGAATGGAAGCAAAGCTTATTGACAGAAACTGACAAGCTGAGCATCACTTACGATGTTACCTTAAGGACACAACAAAATGAACATTGTATCTACACATTGAATCTAGTGTAATCTGTCTTAGTCCACTTGTCTACTGCTGTTTGCTGACATAACAGGCAAGCATATGACCAACGTGTGGCCTGTGGATCTATCAAGTAATTAAATTATTTAAACCTGAGGACACTTTAGAAAGTGCAAGATACAAGGGAGCTACTTTTCATTGTCTGGTTGTGTGGAAATAGTACCTCTTGTCCAAGTGCTTCTCTACTGGTCGATGGTCAATCACACAGACAACATACTGGTCCAGGGGGGACAACTGGGTCCTCAGCACATGGTGGTCAACCAATGTGAGTTGGAGGTGTGGAGCAAGTGATGCAAGGTCCACATCATCAGCAAAAGTGAGGAGGTCTGGAGGTATATCATGCCTACCCAGGAGGTATGTGATCTCTGTGTGGAGTTGGTACTGGCACCGTGGGATGGCAAGAACCGGAACAAACAAGCAGTCAGTGGTGCCAGTCTGAAACATAGTTAACATACAGGCAGTCAGTGGTGACAGTCTGAAACATAGTTAACATACAGGCAGTCAGTGGTGACAGTCTGAAACAGAGTTAACATACAGGCAGTCAGTGGTGCCAGTCTGAAACATAGTTAACATACAGGCAGTCAGTGGTGCCAGTCTGAAACATAGTTAACATACAGGCAGTCAGTGGTGCCAGTCTGAAACACAGTTAACATACAGTTAGTCAGAGAGACCAGTCTGAAACATAGTTAACATACAGGCAGTCAGTGGTGCCAGTCTGAAACATAGTTATAACATACAGGCAGTCAGTGGTGCCAGTCTGAAACATAGTTAACATACAGGCAGTCAGTGGTGCTAGTCTGAAACAAAGTTATAACATACAGACAGTCAGTGGTGCCAGTCTGAAACATAGTTAACATACAGGAAATCAGTGATGCCAGTCTGAAACATAGTTAAAACACACAGACAGTCAGTGGTGCCAGTCTGAAACATAGTTAACATACAGTTAGTCAGTGGTGCTAGTCTGGAACAGAGGGAACATACAGGCAGTCAGTGGTGCTAGTCTGAAACAAAGTTATAACATACAGACAGTCAGTGGTGCCAGTCTGAAACATAGTTAACATACAGGAAATCAGTGATGCCAGTCTGAAACATAGTTATAACATACAGACAGTCAGTGGTGCCAGTCTGAAACATAGTTAACATACAGTTAGTCAGTGGTGCTAGTCTGGAACAGAGGGAACATACAGGCAGTCAGTGGGGCACGTCAGAAAAATAGTGAACATACAGGCAGTCACTGATGCCAGTCTGAAACATAGTTAACATACAGGCAGTCAGTGGCGCCAGCCTGGAACAGAGGGAACATACAGGCAGTCAGTGGTGTTAGTCTGGAACAGAGGGAACATACAGGCAGTCATCAGCGCAAGTCTGGAACAGAAGGAACATACAGGCAGTCAGTGGCGCCAGCTTGGAACAGAGGGAACATACAGGCAGTCAGAGGTGCCAGCCTGGAACAGAGGGAACATACAGGCAGTCAGTGGTGTTAGTCTGGAACAGAGGGAACATACAGGCAGTCATCAGGGCAAGTCTGGAACAGAAGGAACATACAGGCAGTCAGTGGCGCCAGCTTGGAACAGAGGGAACATACAGGCAGTCAGAGGTGCCAGTCTGAAACATAGTCAACATACAGACAGTCAGAGGTGCTGGTCTGAAACATAGTTAACATACAGGCAGTCAGTGGCGCCAGTCTGGAACAGAAGGAACATAATGCAGTCAGTGTTGCCAGTCTGAAACATAGTTTACATGCAGGCAGTCAGTGGCGCCAGTTTGAAACATAGTTATAACATACAGGCAGTCAGTGGCGCCAGTTTGAAACATAGTTATAACATACAGGCAGTCAGTGGTGCCAGTCTGAAACATAGTTAACATACAGGCAGTCAGTGATGCCAGTCTGAAACATAGTTAACATATGTGTTAGTCTGGAACAGAGGGAACATACAGGCAGTCAGTGGTGCTAGTCAGGAACAGAAGGAACATACAGACAGTCAGTGGCGCCAGCCTGGAACAGAGGGAACATACAGGCAGTCAGTGGTGCTAGTCTGGAACAGAGAGAATATACAGGAAGGCAGTGGTGCTAGTCAGGAACAGAAGGAACATACAGACAGTCAGTGGTGCCAGCCGGGAACAGAGGGAACATACAGGCAGTCAGTGGTGCTAGTCTAGAACAGAGGGAACATACAGGCAGTCAGTGGTGCTAGTCTGGAAGAGAGAGAATATACAGAAAGGCAGTGGTGCTAGTCAGGAACAGAAGGAACATACAGACAGTCAATGGCGCCAGTCAGGAACAGAAGAAACATACAGACAGTCAATGGCGCCAGCCTGGAACAGAGGGAACATACAGGCAGTCAGTGGTGTTAGTCTGGAACAGAGGGAACATACAGACAGTCAGTGATGTTAGTCTGGAACAGAGGGAACATACAGGCAGTCAGTGGTGCTAGTCTGGAACAGAAGGAACATACAGACAGTCAGTGGCGCCAGCCTGGAACAGAGGGAACATACAGGCAGTCAGTGGTGTTAGTCTGGAACAGAGGGAACATACAGGCAGTCAGTGATGTTAGTCTGGAACAGAAGGAACATACAGACAGTCAGTGGCGCCAGCCTGGAACAGAGGGAACATACAGGCAGTCAGTGGTGTGAGTCTGGAACAGAGGGAACATACAGACAGTCAGTGATGTTAGTCTGGAACAGAGGGAACATACAGGCAGTCAGTGGCGCCAGCCTGGAACAGAGGGAACATACAGGCAGTTAGTGGTGCCAATCTGAAACGTAGTTAACATACAGTTAGTCAGTGGTGCTTGTCTGGAACAGAGGAAACATACAGGCAGTCAGTGGCGCACGTCAGAAAAATAGTGAACATACAGGCAGTCAGTGATGCCAGTCTGAAACATAGTTAACATACAGGCAGTCAGTGGTGTTAGTCTGGAACAGAGGGAACATACAGGCAGTCATCAGCGCAAGTCTGGAACAGAAGGAACATACAGGCAGTCAGTGGCGCCAGCTTGGAACAGAGGGAACATACAGGCAGTCAGAGGTGCCAGTCTGGATTAGAGGGAACATACACGCAGTCAGTGGTGCCAATCTGAAACATAGTTAACATACAGGCAGTCAGTGGTGCCAGTCTGGAACAGAAGGAACATACAGGCAGTCAGTGGTGCCTGACTGGAACAGAAGGAACATACAGGCAGTCAGTGGTGCCAGACTGGAACAGAAGGAACATACAGGCAGACAGTGGTGCTAGTCTGGAACAGAAGGAACATACAGGCAGTCAGTGGTGCCAGACTGGAACAGAAGGAACATACAGGCAGTCAGTGGTGCCAGACTGGAACAGAGGGAACATACAGGCAGTCAGTGGTGCCAGACTGGAACAGAAGGAACATACAGGCAGTCAGTGGTGCTAGTCTGGAACAGAAGGAACATACAGGCAGTCAGTGGTGCCAGTCTGGAACAGAGGGAACATACAGGCAGTCAGTGGTGTTAGTCTGGAACAGAAGGAACATACAGGCAGTCAGTGGTGCTAGTCTCGAACAGAAGGAACATACAGGCAGTCAGTGGTGCCAGACTGGAACAGAAGGAACATACAGGCAGTCAGTGGTGCCAGACTGGAACAGAGGGAACATACAGGCAGTCAGTGGTGCCAGACTGGAACAGAAGGAACATACAGGCAGTCAGTGGTGCCTGACTGGAACAGAAGGAACATACAGGCAGTCAGTGGTGCTAGTCTGGAACAGAAGGAACATACAGGCAGTCAGTGATGTGAGTCTGGAACAGAGGGAACATACAGACAGTCAGTGATGTTAGTCTGGAACAGAGGGAACATACAGGCAGTCAGTGGCGCCAGCCTGGAACAGAGGGAACATACAGGCAGTTAGTGGTGCCAATCTGAAACGTAGTTAACATACAGTTAGTCAGTGGTGCTTGTCTGGAACAGAGGAAACATACAGGCAGTCAGTGGCGCACGTCAGAAAAATAGTGAACATACAGGCAGTCAGTGATGCCAGTCTGAAACATAGTTAACATACAGGCAGTCAGTGGTGTTAGTCTGGAACAGAGGGAACATACAGGCAGTCATCAGCGCAAGTCTGGAACAGAAGGAACATACAGGCAGTCAGTGGCGCCAGCTTGGAACAGAGGGAACATACAGGCAGTCAGAGGTGCCAGTCTGGATTAGAGGGAACATACACGCAGTCAGTGGTGCCAATCTGAAACATAGTTAACATACAGGCAGTCAGTGGTGCCAGTCTGGAACAGAAGGAACATACAGGCAGTCAGTGGTGCCTGACTGGAACAGAAGGAACATACAGGCAGTCAGTGGTGCCAGACTGGAACAGAAGGAACATACAGGCAGACAGTGGTGCTAGTCTGGAACAGAAGGAACATACAGGCAGTCAGTGGTGCCAGACTGGAACAGAAGGAACATACAGGCAGTCAGTGGTGCCAGACTGGAACAGAGGGAACATACAGGCAGTCAGTGGTGCCAGACTGGAACAGAAGGAACATACAGGCAGTCAGTGGTGCTAGTCTGGAACAGAAGGAACATACAGGCAGTCAGTGGTGCCAGTCTGGAACAGAGGGAACATACAGGCAGTCAGTGGTGTTAGTCTGGAACAGAAGGAACATACAGGCAGTCAGTGGTGCTAGTCAGGAACAGAAGGAACATACAGACAGTCAGTGGCGCCAGCCTGGAACAGAGGGAACATACAGGCAGTCAGTGGTGCTAGTCTGGAACAGAGAGAATATACAGGAAGGCAGTGGTGCTAGTCAGGAACAGAAGGAACATACAGACAGTCAGTGGTGCCAGCCGGGAACAGAGGGAACATACAGGCAGTCAGTGGTGCTAGTCTAGAACAGAGGGAACATACAGGCAGTCAGTGGTGCTAGTCTGGAAGAGAGAGAATATACAGAAAGGCAGTGGTGCTAGTCAGGAACAGAAGGAACATACAGACAGTCAATGGCGCCAGTCAGGAACAGAAGAAACATACAGACAGTCAATGGCGCCAGCCTGGAACAGAGGGAACATACAGGCAGTCAGTGGTGTTAGTCTGGAACAGAGGGAACATACAGACAGTCAGTGATGTTAGTCTGGAACAGAGGGAACATACAGGCAGTCAGTGGTGCTAGTCTGGAACAGAAGGAACATACAGACAGTCAGTGGCGCCAGCCTGGAACAGAGGGAACATACAGGCAGTCAGTGGTGTTAGTCTGGAACAGAGGGAACATACAGGCAGTCAGTGATGTTAGTCTGGAACAGAAGGAACATACAGACAGTCAGTGGCGCCAGCCTGGAACAGAGGGAACATACAGGCAGTCAGTGGTGTGAGTCTGGAACAGAGGGAACATACAGACAGTCAGTGATGTTAGTCTGGAACAGAGGGAACATACAGGCAGTCAGTGGCGCCAGCCTGGAACAGAGGGAACATACAGGCAGTTAGTGGTGCCAATCTGAAACGTAGTTAACATACAGTTAGTCAGTGGTGCTTGTCTGGAACAGAGGAAACATACAGGCAGTCAGTGGCGCACGTCAGAAAAATAGTGAACATACAGGCAGTCAGTGATGCCAGTCTGAAACATAGTTAACATACAGGCAGTCAGTGGTGTTAGTCTGGAACAGAGGGAACATACAGGCAGTCATCAGCGCAAGTCTGGAACAGAAGGAACATACAGGCAGTCAGTGGCGCCAGCTTGGAACAGAGGGAACATACAGGCAGTCAGAGGTGCCAGTCTGGATTAGAGGGAACATACACGCAGTCAGTGGTGCCAATCTGAAACATAGTTAACATACAGGCAGTCAGTGGTGCCAGTCTGGAACAGAAGGAACATACAGGCAGTCAGTGGTGCCTGACTGGAACAGAAGGAACATACAGGCAGTCAGTGGTGCCAGACTGGAACAGAAGGAACATACAGGCAGACAGTGGTGCTAGTCTGGAACAGAAGGAACATACAGGCAGTCAGTGGTGCCAGACTGGAACAGAAGGAACATACAGGCAGTCAGTGGTGCCAGACTGGAACAGAGGGAACATACAGGCAGTCAGTGGTGCCAGACTGGAACAGAAGGAACATACAGGCAGTCAGTGGTGCTAGTCTGGAACAGAAGGAACATACAGGCAGTCAGTGGTGCCAGTCTGGAACAGAGGGAACATACAGGCAGTCAGTGGTGTTAGTCTGGAACAGAAGGAACATACAGGCAGTCAGTGGTGCTAGTCTCGAACAGAAGGAACATACAGGCAGTCAGTGGTGCCAGACTGGAACAGAAGGAACATACAGGCAGTCAGTGGTGCCAGACTGGAACAGAGGGAACATACAGGCAGTCAGTGGTGCCAGACTGGAACAGAAGGAACATACAGGCAGTCAGTGGTGCCTGACTGGAACAGAAGGAACATACAGGCAGTCAGTGGTGCTAGTCTGGAACAGAAGGAACATACAGGCAGTCAGTGATGTGAGTCTGGAACAGAGGGAACATACAGACAGTCAGTGATGTTAGTCTGGAACAGAGGGAACATACAGGCAGTCAGTGGCGCCAGCCTGGAACAGAGGGAACATACAGGCAGTTAGTGGTGCCAATCTGAAACGTAGTTAACATACAGTTAGTCAGTGGTGCTTGTCTGGAACAGAGGAAACATACAGGCAGTCAGTGGCGCACGTCAGAAAAATAGTGAACATACAGGCAGTCAGTGATGCCAGTCTGAAACATAGTTAACATACAGGCAGTCAGTGGTGTTAGTCTGGAACAGAGGGAACATACAGGCAGTCATCAGCGCAAGTCTGGAACAGAAGGAACATACAGGCAGTCAGTGGCGCCAGCTTGGAACAGAGGGAACATACAGGCAGTCAGAGGTGCCAGTCTGGATTAGAGGGAACATACACGCAGTCAGTGGTGCCAATCTGAAACATAGTTAACATACAGGCAGTCAGTGGTGCCAGTCTGGAACAGAAGGAACATACAGGCAGTCAGTGGTGCCTGACTGGAACAGAAGGAACATACAGGCAGTCAGTGGTGCCAGACTGGAACAGAAGGAACATACAGGCAGACAGTGGTGCTAGTCTGGAACAGAAGGAACATACAGGCAGTCAGTGGTGCCAGACTGGAACAGAAGGAACATACAGGCAGTCAGTGGTGCCAGACTGGAACAGAGGGAACATACAGGCAGTCAGTGGTGCCAGACTGGAACAGAAGGAACATACAGGCAGTCAGTGGTGCTAGTCTGGAACAGAAGGAACATACAGGCAGTCAGTGGTGCCAGTCTGGAACAGAGGGAACATACAGGCAGTCAGTGGTGTTAGTCTGGAACAGAAGGAACATACAGGCAGTCAGTGGTGCTAGTCTCGAACAGAAGGAACATACAGGCAGTCAGTGGTGCCAGACTGGAACAGAAGGAACATACAGGCAGTCAGTGGTGCCAGACTGGAACAGAGGGAACATACAGGCAGTCAGTGGTGCCAGACTGGAACAGAAGGAACATACAGGCAGTCAGTGGTGCCTGACTGGAACAGAAGGAACATACAGGCAGTCAGTGGTGCTAGTCTGGAACAGAAGGAACATACAGGCAGTCAGTGATGCTAGTCTGGAACAGAAGGAACATACAGGCAGTCAGTGGTGCCAGACTGGAACAGAAGGAACATACAGGCAGTCAGTGGTGCTAGTCTGGAACAGAAGGAACATACAGGCAGTCAGTGGTGCCAGACTGGAACAGAAGGAACATACAGGCAGTCAGTGGTGCCAGACTGGAACAGAGGGAACATACAGGCAGTCAGTGGTGCCAGACTGGAACAGAAGGAACATACAGGCAGTCAGTGGTGCCAGACTGGAACAGAAGGAACATACAGGCAGTCAGTGGTGCTAGTCGGGAACAGAGAGAATATACAGGAAGGCAGTGGTGCTAGTCAGGAACAGAAGGAACATACAGACAGTCAGTGGCGCCAGCCTGGAACAGAGGGAACATACAGGCAGTCAGTGGTGCTAGTCTGGAACAGAGAGAATATACAGGAAGGCAGTGGTGCTAGTCAGGAACAGAAGGAACATACAGACAGTCAGTGGCGCCAGCCTGGAACAGAGGGAACATACAGGCAGTCAGTGGTGTTAGTCTGGAACAGAGGGAACATACAGGCAGTCAATGGTGCTAGTCTGGAACAGAGAGAACATACAGGCAGTCAGTGGTGCCAGTCTGTAACAGAAGGAACATACAGGCAGACAGTGGTGCTAGTCTGGAACAGAGAGAACATACAGGCAGTCAGTGATGTTATTCTGGAACAGAGGGAACATACAGGCAGTCAGTGGTGTTAGTCTGGAACAGAGAGAACATACAGGCAGTCAGTGGTGCTAGTCTGGAACAGAGGGAACATACAGGCAGTCAGTGGTGCCAGACTGGAACAGAAGGAACATACAGACAGTCAGTGGTGCTAGTCTGGAACAGAGGGAACATACAGGCAGTCAGTGGTGCTAGTCTGGAACAGAAGGAACATACAGGCAGTCAGTGGTGCCAGCCTGGGACAATAACCTATATGTTACATGGCTAAATAAGTTCAATTTTTAACTTTGCATTGTGTTTACTCATGTTAATTGTGCTGCTTACCTTGTAGAGGTAGAAGGAATATACCAGCGCACTGACAGCAGAGTCCAAGTCACAGGCTTCATTACCAATCACAAAATGGACCTTTCCATAATCAGACACCTTGGCCTGCAACATTTATAAAAAAGGGCATTGCAGCTCACCTGGATGTGTCATTAAACAAATCAAACTGTCACGATACCATACTATTACCTTATTATCATAAGCTGTGTCTGGTGTACGACCAAGTCCTGCCTAGCTGTATGGTGTGTGGTTTGTATACGACCAAGGCCTGGATGGCTGTATGGTGTGTGGTGTGTGTACTACCAAGGCCTGCCTTGTGGACTGGTGTGTGGTGTGTGGTGTGTGGTGTGTGTACTACTAAGGCCTGTCTGGTTGTATGGTGTCTGGTGTGTGCACTACCAAGCCCTGTCTGGTTGTATGGTGTGTGGTGTGTGTACTACTAAGGCCTGCCTTGTGGACTGGTGTGTGGTGTGTGTACTACCAAGGCCTGCCTGGTGGACTGGTGTTTGGTGTGTGTACTACCAAGCCCTGCCTGGCTCTACGATGTGGTTTGTGTACTACCAAGGCCTGCCTGGTTGTAGAGTGTTTGGTATGTATACTACCAAGGCCTGTCTGGTTGTATGGTGTCTGGTGTGTGCACTACCAAGCCCTGTCTGGTTGTATGGTGTGTGGTGTGTGTACTACTAAGGCCTGCCTTGTGGACTGGTGTGTGGTGTGTGGTGTGTATATGACCAAGGCCTGCCTCGTGGACTGGTGTGTGGTGTGTGTACTACCAAGGCCTGCCTGGTGGACTGGTGTGTGGTGTGTGTACTACCAAGCCCTGCCTGGTTGTAGAGTGTGTGGTATGTATACTACCAAGGCCTGTCTGGTTGTATGGTGTCTGGTGTGTGCACTACAAAGCCCTGTCTGGTTGTATGGTGTGTGGTGTGTATACTACAAAGGCCTGTCTGGTTGTATGATTCGTGGTGTGTGCACTACGAAGCCCTGCCTGGTTGTATGGTCTGTGGTATGTATACTACCAAGCCCTGTCTGGTTGTACGATGGTGGTGTGTATACTACCAAGCCCTGTCTGGTTGTACGATGGTGGTGTATGGTGTGTGGCGTGTGTACTACCAAAGCCTGCCTGGTTGTACGTTGTTTGGTTTGTATACTACAAAGGCCTGTCTGGTTGTATGATGTGTGGTGTGTGCACTACCAAGCCCTGCCTGGTTGTATGGTGTGTGGTATATATACTACCAAGCCCTGCCTGCTTGTATGGTGTGTGGCGTGTGTACTACCAAACCCTGCCTGGTTGTACAGTCTGAGGTTTGTGTACTACCAAGGCCTGCCTTGTGGACTGGTGTGTGGTGTGTGATGTGTGTACTACCAAGGCCTGCCTTGTGGACTGGTGTGTGGTGTGTGGTGTGTGGTGTGTATATGACCAAGGCCTGCCTCGTGGACTGGTGTGTGGTGTGTGTACTACCAAGGCCTGCCTGGTGAACTGGTGTGTGGTGTGTGTACTACCAAGCCCTGCCTGGTTGTAGAGTGTGTGTTGTGTATACTACAAAGGCCTGTCTGGTTGTATGATTCGTGGTGTGTGCACTACCAAGCCCTGCCTGGTTGTATGGTGTGTGGCGTGTGGCGTGTGGCGTGTGGCGTGTGTACTACCAAGCCCTGCCTGGTTGTACGGTGTGAGGTGGGTGTACTACCAAGCCCTGCCTGGTTGTACTGTGTGAGGTGATAATGTGTTGATACGAAACTTCCCCTCGAATACGAAACTGCTGTCTATGATTTGAGAATGACATTACGGCGGCCATCTTGGTTTGCTCTAGGCAGGCAGTTGAGTGACAACCTGTGTGGGTGCAGGAGGTGTATTGTGTTGGCAGTCGTTTTGAATACAAGTGTATATGAAGAACCTGTGTCTGTCTATTTTAACATGGTAGCAGAGCGTGGTTGACACCTGTCCCTGACCTTTTCCTGTATGCTGGAAAAATTGTTGGTGTAGAAAAAAAATAAAAATAGAGAGACAAGAAAGAAGACATGGCGTCAAGTGGTAGCTATAAGAGTCCCCCGACATTCTCAGAGGCCAAACCTTATAACAGATGGATTGAAGAAATCCGTGTATGGATGACTGTTACAGACCTTCCTGAAGAAAAACAGGGACCTGCTTTGGCTTTATCTCTGCCAGAGAATGAAGGTACAATTCGTGATAAAGTTTTCAGTGAATTAGGTGTCACAAAATTGAATCAGAAAGATGGTGTGAAAACATTCATACAGTTTATGGACAGTGTATATAAGAAAGACGAACTTTCAGAGGCTTATGAAGTTTACATTGAATTTGACAGATTTAGAAGATTGGAAAGAATGACCATGGAGAACTATGTCACAGAATTTGAAAAACTTTATAACAGAACTAAAAAGTACACAATGAGTCTACCACAATCTGTATTGGCTTTCAAATTACTTGAGAATGCTGGACTCAGTCACACAGATCGACAATTGGTGCTTACTGGGGTAGATTATACTAATGATGCAACCCTATTCAAACAGATGAGTGTTTCGATGAGAAAGTTCTTTGGGAAACAGTCCCTACCAGCATCAGGTGGTGAAGAGAAGATGATCCCAATATCAGAAATTAAAGTTGAACCAGTCTATGCTGTCTATGAAGAATCTGCACACTACACGTGTAGTAAGAGAGGTAGAAGAGGTCAGGGAGGTTATGGAAATTACCAGAATTATGGTTGGCGGGGGAACAATTCACAGTTTAGAGGTTATGGAGGACAGTTTGGTGCACGTAGAAACAGCAGTGATGTGTTTGATGGAACAGAAAGTGCAAGAGGGAAGACAGTTCAGAATGTCTTGGGAAGGGATGGCAGACCCCTTCACTGCAAAATTTGTCAGTCAATATTTCATTTTGCAAAAGATTGCCCTGACTCCTATGAAAATATGGACAAAAGAAAACATGGTGGAAAGGAGGAAGAATTTGTACTCTTCACAGGAAACAAAAATGAAGAACTCGAGGTATTAGTGTGTGAAACATTAAATACAGCAATCCTAGACAGTGCATGTAGCTCTACAGTAGCTGGTGAGGTGTGGGTGAAGTGTTTCATAGATACTCTTGATGAACATGAACTTGAACAAGTGACAAGATGTCCAAGTGAGACTTTGTTTAAATTTGGAGGTGGAAGGCGTCTAAAATCAATGGAAAAGATTACGCTTCCATGTGAGATAGCTGGGGTAAAATGTACTGTTACGACGGATGTAGTTGAGAGTGACATACCCTTACTTCTTGGAAAGCCTGCAATGAAAGCTGCAAAAGTTATCATGGACCTTGAAAATGATAAAGCCTCTTTCTTTGGAAATTAAATTGACTTACAATGTACCTCATCTGGGCATTATTGTGTCCCATTGGTTCATTCAAGGGTACCTGTGGACAATACATTTGAAGTTTTGTTCACAGTCACTGGAAAGACGAAGATAGAAAAGAAGAAAACAATAGTGAAGTTGCACAAACAATTTGCTCATCCGTCTAGCCAATGGTTGGCAATGTTACTGGAAGATGCTGGAGTGAAGGATCAGTCTTGTCATTAATTGGTTGATGAAGTTACTCGTGAATGTGACATTTGCTCAAAGTTCAAGAAAACTCCACCAAGACCATTTGTGTGCCTACCTTTGGCAACTGAATTCAATGAAGTTGTAGCTATGGACTTGAAAGTGTGGAAACCAGGTGTGTATTTCCTGCACCTGATTGATCTTGCAACAAGATTTAGTTTAGCAGCCGTCATCAGAAGAAAGACACCTGAGATAATCATTGATAAAATCCTAAAACTATGGATAGGCAGTGGATTCGGAATTCCGAAAAAGTTTCTGGCAGATAATGGTGGTGAATTTGCAAATGCAGAGTTCAGAGATATGGCTGAAAATCTGAACATTGATGTTATGAACACTGCAGGTTTCAGTCCATGGCAGAATGGGGTGTGTGAGAGAAATCATTCGGTTGTTGATAATTGTGTTGAGAAGATTATGGAAGGTGACCCGCGTCTGGACTTGGAAACTGCATTAGTATGGGCTATCAACGCAAAGAATTCTCTGCAAATGGTACGTGGATGGAGTCCATATCAATTGGTTTTTGGCTCAAATCCAAACATGCCTTCAGATAAACCTCCAGCTTTGGAGGGGACCACCATCAGTGAAACATTTGCTAGGCATTTGAATTCTCTACATTCTGCAAGAAGGGCATTCATTCAGACAGAATCATCTGAACGAATTCGGAGGGCACTGAGGCATAATGTTAGACCATCAGGTACCACTTTTCATGCAGGCGAAAAAGTCTATTACATGAGAGACAATCAGTGGAAGGGACCTGGGAAGGTGTTAGGTCAAGATGGCAAGATCGTTTTTGTTAGGCATGGAAACATTTACATCAGGGTTCACACTTGTAGGCTTCATAAGGTACAAAATCAAGGACATGATAGACCTGATCAGGTCATGGAAAGCAATGAAGAAGGAAATGGTGTGATCTATCCAACATGTCCAAACGAGCATGAGACTGAGAATTTTCATGAGGAAGACTGTGATAATGATCTCTCTGGTGTTGAGAAGAACAAGTGTGAGCATAGTATCCAAGAAAAAAAAATGATCCAAGCATCATAACATTTCCAAAGGTGAAAGACAAGGTAAAGTATTTGCCACAAAATACAGACAAGTGGAAAGAAGCTGAGGTGATCAGTAGAGGTGGCAAGGCTACAGGAAAGTATAAAGGGTATTTCAATGTCAGTGAAACTGATAGTCAAGAGGTCAAAACATTGAACTTTGAAACTGATGTCCAGCGATGGGAAAAGGTTTGAAACTGACAGTTTCATGTCAGCTGAAGATGTGAATGTTGCCTTTGTCCCTTGTAAACATCATGAGGATAAAGCTGTTAAAATTGCCAAAGAATCCGAACTTAGAAATTGAGAATTGTTTGATGTTTATGAAGAGGTGCATGATTGTGGTCAGCCATGTATATCTACAAGATGGGTGATAACTGAAAAGTTCAATGGAGAAAAGAAAGAAATCAAGGCAAGACTTGTTGCAAGAGGCTTTGAAGAAAAGCAGTGGGTGCAAAGTGATTCGCCAACAGCAGG